TAAGAAGTAAAGCCATGCTGTTATGTTGAGCTGTAGGGGACTCAGGTCAACAATTTATGACATTGCCAGTCAAGCGGAAGACTCAATACTATTATGGGCTATGGGACTCTTTTAGAATATTTAGTTAACACACCTGTAATACTCAAATAATGGAACTTAACAAAAAAAGGGGATACAGATGAATGTCCATTTTGTATCTGTATTCAAAATGGTTAGGATAGATATATAGTTACATTTTCTTAATGAATAGAGGGATTTGTTCTAATAGTGTTTGTAAATAGGATATCATGTCCGCATCTTGTACAGCAATTAACCACTATGTATGCAATGTGTTAATTATTGAAACTGTCCTACCAGTTTGGTTTGAAACTGTCTCATTGCTATTTGCTTCTCAATAAAAAAAAGAGTTCAGTTAATAGTCTTGCATCGATGTTTTGGTCATTATACTATGATAATATAGAACATTAACATTAGAAAAAGCCAGGGAATGTTATAGGACAGCTTTTATTACCACTTTTCCAACCTTCCTGCTAATTCTAAAATTATTTCAGGGTCGGGAATGTAGCTCAGTGGCATAAGCACCTGCCTGGCAAGTGCAAGGTCCCAAGTTTAATCCCTGATACCACAAAAAATAAATAAGTTAAATAATTTCAATCAGTAGCTTAAAAAGATATCTGTGGAATAAATAACAGTTTATATATTTATACATTTCATTAACTTATATGCAAACTTTAATATCAGAACTTTTTAAAGAGCTTCTCTCCCCAGTTTATGTGTGTTTAGAGTATTTAAGGCCACTTAAAATGTGTGTGTTTATTTTAGCAAAACAGTGACCAGAACAGCAATTTGAATGCCCACGTGATTAGAAATCCAGGTAAGTAAGGCTTACTAATTGTTTTGGAAGATAAATCTAAAACTTTTCTCTTTTTTTGGGTTTTGTTTTAGGTAAAATTATGAAAAGGTTAAATTCTTATTTAAAACTGATTTTATACTAAAATGATACTTTAATTTTCATTTATATATTATTGTATAAAATTATTTTCTTTAATGTTTTAGTTTATTACTATCTTTTACATTAACTTTTTGTCAATTTGTAGAAATACAGGGTAAGTGTTAAAATGAATATTTATAGTTAATCTTTTAGAATAATGTATTCCTTCTGCTGTATGACAGCAGGCACAAAATACAGTCCAAGAATGGTTTGATCCTCTTTTTTTTTTTTCCCTGCGGTATGGAGGTTGAACTCAGGACCCTGCACTTGCCAGGCAAACACTTATTCTACTGAGCTATCTCCCTCGGCCTGATCCTCATATTTTCTTTTTCTTTCTTTTTTTTCTTTTTTACAGTACATTTCTTTTTTTTTGATCCTCATATTTTCTAATTGTGATTTTTCATACTTAATGAACAAGTGGCCTGTTCTTAAATCTTAGGGCTACCTTTTAAAAACATTTCCAAATACTTTATTACCCGTATTTGAGAAATGGTTTTGCTTTGGCAGCAGTTACAACAGCTGTTACCTAACAGTAAAAAACCTTTACCACATTTTTGTTTAATCATTAACAAAGGTTGTGGATTTTCCTTTCAACAGATGTGGAAAGATTAAAAGAGAATTCAAATCATGATGATAGCAGCAGGGACAGTTACTCTTCTGACAGACATTTGTCTCAGTACCATGACCATCATAAAGACCGCCATCAGGGAGATTCTTACAAAAAGAGTGATTCCAGAAAAAGACCTTATTCTTCATTTAGTAATGGTAAAGATCATCGAGAGTGGGATCACTACAAGCAAGACAGCAGGTAAACTGAGTTACTTTGAAATTTGGTTTATAGCTTTCTCCTCTTAATTATTGTATTGACTTGCAGTCAGAACAAGTCTTACTAATTTATAAACAAAAGAATTGATTTGTAGTATTTTCCATAACTAATAGTAACTGAATGTCTCTATAAAATGAGGTGTTTTGTTTTGTTTGGTTTGTTTCTTGAGACAGGGTCTTGGTATAGAGTTCAGGCTGGCGTTAAACCAACAGTGATCCTCCTGCCTGAGTCTCCCAAGTTCTGGGATTCCAGGCATGTGTCCCTATACCTGGCTGTATAAAATGAGGGTTGTTTTGTTTTGTTTTGTTTTGTTTTGTTTTGTTTGCTTGATTTTTGAATCTTTGGTCTCACTATGCCATTCAGGCTGACCTTGAAGATTTTTCTGATTTTTAAAATCATTACTATTGTTACTTTTGGGTGTTTTGTTTGGTTTTGTTTTGTGACAGGGTATCATTGTAGTTTAAGCTGGCCATGAACCCCACATGTAATTGAAGCTGGTGTCGTAATTTGTGGAGATTCTCCTGCCTCAGCCTATCAAGTGCTAGCATTGTGTTGCTTAGTTGTAAAGTTTGTCTCCCATGCTTGAGGCCCTACGTTCTACGCCCAGCATTTCAGAGAGAGAAATGAAAAGATACTGGGTCTATTTCTATTGTCCTCACAATATTAATTTCCTCTGTGAGAGGTTCTGTCACACTCTAAAATATCAATGGTAGCGTGGTATAATATTAGAAAGGGACATATAAAAAATTATTTATTAGTGGTATACTTTTATAACTTCATAGGCTGATTAAAGATCATTCTTTGTAATAAAAAGCCCTCATTTGATGAATGTGTTTTATTTGAAAAGGCAAACATTTTAGAGATTACTTCTCATTAAACTTGGCACATTTTTTAGTAGACACATTTATATATTAAGCACATTTTTCCTTAATGATTTTCATGTTAAAACTTACTATAAAATTAGTCATATTTAAGAAAGCTTTTTAAAGTGCCTGCTTAGGCAGAGTGCAGCAGCTAGGGTTCAGTCCCCAGCTGGGTGATTGAGACTGGGCATAATAGCATGCATCTGTAATCCCAGAGCTTGGGAGGCTGAAAACAGGAGAATCATTACAAGTCAGATCTACATAGTGAGAGCCTGTAGACTTTGTCCTAAATACAGTTAAAAAAAGAAAAAAAAAAGTTTTAATAGGCATTATCAGTCAATGAAAATCCTTACATATGAGTTGTATTATAAACTTTATTTTTGAATTTAAAATTTTTCCTGGCTAGAAATCCTTATATATGAAAGACATTGCTTTTTCTGAGTTCCTGGATGGTTGTGGTTATCCATTTCTGACTTTCAGACAGATAAGATGCATGAATGCAAATGAAAAAAGAATAAAGAACAGCATTTTTTGTAAGACTGCAATTAGATGCTGTGTGAAGTAGTCTGAGTGATTTGTTTAGTTTTATGAATCAAATGATTTTTCCAAAGAGATACTCCAGTTATTTAAAACTGATTTATGGAATTTGATAAAATATAATTTGTATAAAATGAAAAGTGAACTATGGACTTGTATACAATAAAAAGTATGTTTAAACATGTTTTATTTTTTGGCAAGATTTTTTTTTGAAACATAATTTGCTTTATTAGGTTGAATAAAACAAAATTTGTCTTTTATTAGATATTACAGTGACCGAGAGAAACACAGAAAACTGGATGATCATAGAAGTAGAGATCACAGGTCAAATTTGGAAGGAAGTTTAAAAGATAGATGTCATTCTGATCATCGATCTCATTCAGACCATCGGGTACATTCAGATCACCGGTCAAGCTCTGAATATACACACCATAAATCTTCCAGGGATTATAGATATCACTCGGAGTGGCAAATGGACCACAGAGCTTCCAGTAGTGGCCCTAGGTCACCACTAGATCAGAGGTCTCCTTATGGCTCCAGATCTCCATTTGAACATTCAGTTGAACACAAAAGTACACCTGAGCATACCTGGAGTAATCGGAAAACATAACAAAAACTAATGCTTTGTCTTTCTGGACTTATCTTTTAGCCATATATCATAAACCAACACAGTAATTGCCTTACATGACTTGAAAGATATAAACAGATCTTCTATCAGTAGCAGTATTGTTACTTCTTTCCAGGATGCAAGATCTATTATCCCAACAGAAGAGAAACTATTTTTATATTTAAGGATTATGCTGCACTGTACTACAAATATTGTAGTACTTTTTTTTTTTTTTTTTTCTTTTTTAAAGAAATGGAAAATGTTTACTATAACAGGGACCTCAACACTGCCCTCCCATATAGGCTGGATAAAACTTTTTTAAGTCAGTTATTTTAGACTGACCTCCATTTAAATTATGTTTGTATATGAACTTTACTCTGACCTGTGATCATGTTTCAGGAAGGAATGAAAGAGAGTTCTTTTCTTAATAAAGAAAAAAGGCTCAAGGACTTTGTTCACTTTCCAAAGCTACTTGTTTACATTGTACACTGCGACCACCTTGCCGCTTTTCATCACAAGCTTGAATATTTAAATTCTGTACTTATATCTGTAATATAGCCAGGAATTTCCTGTTTGTGATTTATTATGCCTTTTTATATAAAAAATGGCTGTAAATTATTGTAAATGTATTAAATGAGCTTTCCTTACTTTCTCCCTCAGGCTTTTTTTGACTGTTCCTTTCTCTACCAACTCAGGCCTTCTTATAAAAAAAAAAAAAATCAGTCTAATAACATTTTTTAATCTGTCTTGATGGAATTGTTGTTTAGAATGTAAAAATGGGGAAAGGGGCCACTTATTTCCATTAGTCCTTTTTATATTGAATACTTTATTAGCTACATGTTATTCCTCTCCCCTTTTTTAGTCAATATTATGTTTGTAGTAAAAGAAAAAATGGTGAGATAATACAGAAAGTCTAAACTGTGTTCTGGAAACATTTTTTCAGATGCATTTGGTTTAAAAGGGTAGGTATATGACACTCAGAATCCAAACGGCCAAAAGTTACTGTAAATCCATTTGTTTTCCCTTTTCATGTGGGCAATAATGTCAAATGTGCTATGCAGCCAGGTTAACATTTTAGACAAACTTGATTGACTTTTAATATAAACTGTTACAATGCACACTGATTGTATATAAAAACCTTATATATGACAAATTAAATTTAAGAAAAAGGATTTATGGGCTCTTGTAGTTTTCTGCTGCATTCTTATTCCTTCAAGCACTTAATTTTGTTTCTGGTTTTTTGGTTTTTTTTTAACATTGAACAGTAAAAAGATAATTTGGTAAATGATTAAATATTGGCAGTGTAGTACTACAATTAAAATCTATTTTGAAAACTAATCTTCCTAGGAAGTAAAAGGTCTTCAAATCTTTGTACCCTTTGGCTTCCTGAAGCTATTTTAGTGTGCCTTGCTTTCATAGGTTTATTTTTATTATATTCATTGAGAATATTTGAAGCATGTGACATGCATTTTTAGTATGCTTGTTATGAAACAAATTTTAATTGTATTCTGACAATTATGGATATATTCCTGTGCTTCTATACATAACTCCACTAATGAGCTGTGGAAGCAGTGTATTAAAATTCACCCATAAATTTATTTATTATTTTCCTTTTATTCGTTTATGTCTAAATTTTACACTTTGTACAAAAGTTTCCTAGGTTTTTATTTTTTTCTTACATTTATTTATATGTTTTTTTATACTCTGAAGAATAATGATGTTTCTTTCCTGGTATATAAGATCACATGTAAAGGAATAACCCTATTTTTTTTTTTTTTTTTTTTGGCGGACCTGGGGATTGAACTCAGGCCCTTCTACTTGACAGGGAAATGCTTATTCCACTGAGCCATCTCCCCGGCCCTACTGAACCAGCTCCCTGGCCCTTACCCTATTTAAAAAATCTAATTTATACCTAAATATAAAATTAAAACAACTCAATGTTGGCACACATTTTTAAGTCAGTTAGCTTTTCTTACGTTTAGTATAAATTATTATATTCCACAATAACTTTCAAGTAAAAAGAAAAATGCTTAATGAAGTTAGTATATTGTCGCAGTGGAATCGGTTGACATTTTTAATTCACTTTATAGCTAAAATGTTTGTATTATATCCTGTGAAAATTTCAAAGAACATGTTTGGGGATGAGGGAGTGTTCTCTAACAAAGCTACACTTAGTTGGATATTTAAGTCAGCCAGCTGAGTTAAATAAGGAATCTGGAACTGACATTAATTTACAAGAAATGTTAACTATAAGAAATCAGTAGTTAAGTTGGAAAGGATCAAAGCCATATGTTTATGAAGACTCAGTAGGAGCATTAGTACATCGAAAAAACAGAAAACATTCTCTATAAAATGTTTATTTTTGGTCTTTTACATGCTCATTCTGCTTTGCTATTTTTATCCATTTATGTTTAATTTTTTAAGGATATTATGCATAGCACTGTACAGTTAAACCTCCACCTTAATAATATACAATAAATGATTCTTATTAAAACCAATGGCCTGTCTGCTTATAAAGAAATACCAGGATACATTAGAAATTAATTTTCAGACTGTTTGAAGATGTTAAAAACTGATATTTTACTTTTTTATAAGAATTTTTAAAAATTATTAAATTTACTGTATGATTATATGTATGTACAATGGTCATATTCACAGAATTTGTACCTATATATGATGTTTCCTGTTTCCTCTTTATTTTTTCTTTCTAGTATCATCCCATTTCTTCAACTACTCTTCCTGTCATTTACAAAGCTTTGTTTTCATTTTGTCCTTTTATCATTTTCCCCTTGCTTTCCCTCTCACCCTCCCTAGTTCTCATTTCTTTTTTCTTTCTCTCATTTCTTTTGAATCACTTCCTATTTTATTACTCTCTATACTTTGGTCCTTAATTACTCTTTCAGTTTCCTCACACCAAAGAAACCACAGTATTTATGTATGTGTGTGATAAATTTCACTGAAGAGTATGATCTCAAGGTGCATCCATTTACCTAGGAATGTCTCTAAGATCCTTTATAGCTTGAGTAGTACTTCATTATATATATAAAAAAAAAAATTAAATCTGTTCAGTTGATGGACATTTAGGTTGTTTCCAAGATTTAGCCATTACAAATTATGCTGCTTTAAACATGTGTGCACATATATCACTGTGGTATAATTTTTTAATTCTTCTAAGAAGATATCCAGCAGGGTCACTGCTGGATCAAGTGGGACCTCTAATCCTAGTTTTTGGAAGAATCTCTACATTGATTTCCATAGTGTTTAGGCCAGTCTGTGTTCCCACCAATGATGAAGAAGGGTTTCTTTTTCCCCACAGGCCCACCAGCATTTGTTAATGATTTTTCAATAATTGCCATTCTGTCTGAAGTGAGGTAGAATCTCAAGTGTTGTTTTAATTTTGCTTCTCTTGAATAACCAGTGATGTTGAACATATTTTCATGTATTTATTTGTTGTTCATATTTGTTCCTCTGAGAAGTGTGTATTCATCATGAATGTTCATTTTTTAATTGGGTCTTTAAATTTGGGGTGGGAGTTCTAATTTTTTTTTCAGGTCTTTATATGTGCTACATATTGGTCCTTTGAGGAACCACTGGCTAAAATTTTTTACCATTCTCTGTTGTCTTTTCACTCTGTAGATAATCTCTTTCGGTGTGCACAAGCTTTTGAATAGGATGAGACCCCAGTTGTTGATGATGTGTAATGTTTCCTGTGTTACTGGGGTTTTGTTCCTGAAACCTTTGCCCACATGTGTCTTCAAGTGTTTTACTTATTTTCTCTTCCAGCAGATTCAGTGTTTGTTTTAGTATTTAGATCTGCCCATTTTGATTTTAGTTTATTTTTTTTATTATTTATTTATTTTTTTAAATTAAACATCTTTCTTTTTAAAATTTATTTTATTTATTTGTGTGTGTGTGTGTGTGTGTGTGTGTGTGGCCAGCTCAGCCCACCTGGGGGCAGGGCTGGCTGGCATGTGGTGCTGGGGGATTGAACCACGGTCCATGGTGCTTTGCTAAGCTTGTTCTAAGTAGGTGCTTTAGACCACTGAGCCATCTCACCAGCCCCTTGATTTTAGTTTACTTGGTGAAAGAATGGGTCTTGTGTTAGTCTTTGGTATGTGGAAAGCCAATGTTTCCAATATAAGTTATTAAAGAGGCTATCTTACAGTGAATATGTTTGGCACCTTTGTCAAAGATTAGGTGGCAAGGGCTGGGAAGATTGATCAGTGGCATAAGTGCTTGCCTGGCAAGTACAAGGTCCTTAGTTCAATCCGTGGAACAAAAACCCAAAACAAAATGATTAGGTGGCAGGAGTGTGTTTCAAGTTGTTTCTGGATCTTCTAATATGTTCCATTGATGTTGGGTCTTACTATTATTTTATTATTTTGTTTGGTTTTTGTTTGTTTTGCCAGTACCATGCTGTTTTTGTCACAGTGGCTTGGTAGTACAATTTTCAAGTGAGGGGTTGAGATGCCTTATACTTTGACTTTATTGCTTAGGACTGTTTTAGCTATCTTAGGTCTCTTCTACTTACAAATGAATTTTAGAAATGTTTTTTCTAGTTCTGTGCAATATGCTAATGTATTTTAGTTGGGATTGCATTAAACATGTATACCAAAGATTATCTTTCCATTTTCTGATATTTCTTCAGTCTCCCTTTTTTGGAGTAATGTAATTTTCAATGTATAGATCTTTCACTTTTGGTAGATTATTTCATTTTTTAAATGCTATTGTGAAGGGCATTTTCATAATTTCTGTCTCAGTTCATTTGTCATTTGTATAAGAATACTGTTTTTGCATGTTGACTGTTCAGCTGCTCTTCTGAGTTTGGTTATCAAATCACTTAAGTTTTTGGTGGTGTTTTGGGGGTCTTCTCTTGTAGCATATCATGTAGTCTCATAATTTAACTTCTTTCTTTCCTACCCTCATTTTTTTTTTGTCTCTCTTGTGTTACTGCTCTGGCTAGTGTTTCCAGAACTACATTAAATAAGAGTGGTGATTATGTCTTGTTCCTGATCTTAGAATAAAAGCTATCTGTTTTTGTCTGTTTAGTCTGATGTTGGTTATTGGTTTATCATAGATAGCTTTTATCAGATTGAGATAAAGTCCATCTTTTCTGATTTTCTGTAGGGTTTCATCATGAATGAGTATTGGACTTTGTCAGAAACTTTTTCTGTATTGAGATGATTATGATTTTTGCCTTTGGCTCTGTTGATATTACATGTATTGATTTACATATGTTGAACTGTACCTGCATCCCCAGGCTGAATCCCACTTGGTCGTAATGTATATATTTTTTGTTTATTTTAGACCTTTATTAACAGGTGCTTGCAGTTTGTTGACTTTTTTGAAAAATCAAGTTGTAAACTTTTATTACAAATTAAAAGTGAAGTTCTTAAAAATCACAACATGACCAGATATGAAACAATTTAGAAACTTTTAAAAGCCTGGTATAGAGAAAAACCAGGCTTTTCTTAAAAACACATTTGGCATTACCAAAAAGACATCCTTAGGCAAAAATAATAAAAACCCCATGTTGCATAGATAATGCAACTCTAGTTATCTGATCAGTGGGCAAAAATCACTTAAGGTCTTCACTTTCATCCCTTGTGCATTTCTTATTGGCAGACTTTCCTATGCATTTTTTCTTATTGGATAACTAAACCAGATGACAGTAGAGATATTAAGCTAGCACTTACTCAGCCCACCCTGCTCAGCCTCAGGAACAGATGAATTCTCAGCTGGTGGTTTGGCTGCTTTTCTCTCTTTGTCAGCTTGTGGCTTAGGGTTTTCTGGGCATCTGTATTGGTACTTGAAGTTGCCATGGTACCAACATTGAGGTGGCTGTTGACCTGGAGTTCCTCTACTTAATTGTCCTTATCCCTTCATCTCCATCCTTTAGGCTGTGTTTGGCGAGCAGGGTCCCTGCAGAACCATGGTCTATAACCTCAGTACACCTTCTGCCTCACTTTATTGTTCTCCTGCACCCTGGTTGTCTACACCCTCTATCACTTCTTGTGCAGATGGGTTACAATACTATGGTCTACACCTCTAGGGTCTCTGCATGTAAGAAGGTGGAAGGACCAGTGCTGGTGGGCCTGGCCCTCAGGAGCACTCTCTGAGCCCTCATTCTTGTCCCCACTCTTAATATCCTGGTAATTCTGCTAGTAATTGTGTAGAGGACCTCTGCGACATGGAGAGCATCTGTAATGGCCATGGTCTGCTGCTCGTTTAATCCCTTGAGCTGGAGTTCCACCAGGGCCTGTAACATTCACTGCATCCACACCCTTTTCTTTTTGTCCTTTAACAGCATCCAAGTCCACAGTCTCAATCTACACTGCGAAGGTCCTTCCTGGGGCTATTCTTTAGGGCAGTCTGGTGTACCAATACATCTTCCTTCGGTGTCATTCCTGTTGATGAAACCTTATCTGTTTCTCATGCACCATTTTGCTGTTCTGAAAACCTTCCGATGACCTTATTCCCCCCTTAGGGTAAATTTTTAATTACATCTTTAACTTCATTGACTGATCCTAGTTTATTTAGAATTTTTGTATCTTCTTGATTTAGTTTTGGCAATTTGTATATATTTAGGGATCTGTCCATTTTATTTGTATAGTTTTCTTAGGTTCCATTGCATTGATTTCTACTCTTTATAGTTTCCTTTGAACTCTGAGTTTGATTTGTTCTTTTTCTAGAAGTTAGGTTATTTGAGCTCATTCTGTTTTCCTGAAGTGAGCAGTTATTGCTATATATTTCCCTCTTAGGACTGCTTTGA